CACCGCGCTCAACCAGTGAGCGGACCGGTCTCTACATGGGATCCGAACCCTTGGCAGGAGCGCCGCCGCGCTCCCAAGCGCCACACTCTACCAAGTGCGCCACCAGGCCGGCCCACATCCCATACTCTTAACCACTACACAGTATAGTCTTTCTGCAGAAGCAGAGCTGGGGCTAAATGGCTCAACTCCTGAAGCAAGGCCAATACTAATTAGTTTGTCTGTATAGGCAGATGACAATTTGTCCTCCTATGCACAGCTGAAAAAGTTTAGTTTTGCTTTTTGCTTGACTGGAACTCAGGAAGAGGAGGTGCGCAACACCCTGAATCCTAATGGAAAGGAGGTGGAGAGGGGGAGGGGTGTTTTCATCGTGGATGGTCCTGGGTCGTCCATCCCTCTGAATCTCTCCACATCTTTAAACTGCTATACTGTATGGGTAAGAGCAAGACTAGTGAATTCCATTTCTCCAACAACCCTGATGAAACCAGCAAGTGTATGAAAAAAATATAAAATTTAATTTTAGACATGGCAAGTTTGAATAAATTGCTTCGTGTCATAGTAGAAAATAGACTTTGTTCTACCATGGGAAACAGTAGAATAGAACAGAATAAAAGTAGAATGGAATATCCAAGGCCAAAACCAATTTTCAAGTACACTTAAAATATGTTGATATTGTTCAAAGATACTTTATTAAGATCAAAGGTTTTCCATTACATTTATTTATAAATCCTTACTAGTCAAAAAGAAAATAAATAATAAAAATCTGTATCTTCAGGAAGATTTTAACATAGTTTTGTAAATCTGAGAAGTTTACATATTTGTCAATTTTAAATTATTACAATTTAGATACATTCAATCATATAATACCAAAAATGTCAGCCTTATAAGATACCAAGAACTTTCATATTGGTTAGTAAAATCATTGTAAAAAAATTATATTTCAATTTCACCTTTTTATTTTTAACCAACTCTAATTTTTCAATCATGGGAGTATAGAACTTCCTTCTTGGTCTTGGATTTTAAATATATGGCTTTAAAAAAGCAAACATTCCTTTCCTCTCAAATAGTGGCTGACTCTCTATCTCGGAAGCAGTCTGCTATACAAGTGGGGAGCATGGGCTGTTCTTGCTGGAGAAGGGAGTTGGGGTCAGGACCATACAGGATCAAGGACCTTTTGCTACAGTGATCATTGAACCCTTGTAATGGGCCCTGCCTTACTAAATTTTCATCACATCTCTCTCTAAGCATCGAGATGGCCATACAAACACCACTTATAAGACAATGAATACTACCTTATTTCTTGAATTGCCAAAATGCCCCTTTCTTTTCATTATTTTAAAAATAATGTTCTAGCTCTGGTCTAAAAAAGGAGAAAGCTCTGGACAGTTATATTTTTATTACCACCCCTATTGCCACCACCACCTTATACTATATCTCTATCTCCAAAGTGAAGAATTAAAGCAATTATCTGCAAATGAGAAAAAAAAAATCAGTGTGAATATTTCAGAGTAAAGAATTTGGACTGCCTAAATTATTCAGATGAATGCCTAAGTCACTATACACTTCCCATCATTTTTTTTGTATAAGGAGTCTTGATTTATAAGAAATTAAAGTCAAAATATTCTACCCAAACTATCTATTTAAAACTTGTACTTCTCTTAGACCAGCCACACCTTCAAAGTATGGCTTTAGCATTGGATTTGGTAACCCTCTCCTTGATTTTTTTTTTAACTAAATTGCTTGCCATTTAATTAATAAACTTAGAACTCACTGTTTGAATTATGTTGTTATATAACATTTAGTCTCATTATCTACCTATTTTGGTGTGAATGTATATCAAGGCCATTGGAGTTACATTTGTCTATTTCTAATGTGCAATTTGACATATCTGAAGGAAATCCAGCGAATAATGCTACTGAATGTGCAGGGCACATACAACCCACTTGTGGACGTATCTGTGTAAAGGTCAAATATTTACATGGAATGTTAACGTTGATTTATAAAACTACTATTTTAAATTATGACATCTTTACATACAATCAATTTATTTTATGAATAGCTCAATTTGATAGTTAAAAAAATATTCCTTTCAAATATTTCATAAATATATAAAATTTCATTACATTCTATCTTTCTTTAAACATGACATCTAAACTCTCTTTACAAATCAACAAAAAATAACATTTTTTTTTTTTCTGTTTGAAAGTCACAGATGCAGTGATTTTCAATTGGCAGGGTCTTACTGCATGCAAGAATGGTAGGACATGTTCTCTTACAGAACTTATGGGCATTTCTAGTACTTGGAACTATATAATTCACTTGCTGAAGATCAGTAGTATCAACGAAAAATGAGAGATCCTACCTAAATATTTACAATGTAATAGTCTCTCTTAAACTTCTTTAACAATGGCAAGGTTAGAAGGGTATCTGGCCAGTGTTAAGAATCATTTTGATGACAAATAACACTACATGAAGTTTTCCAAAACACGTCTTGGTGAAATTTAAATATGTGGTGATCAATTGCACATATCTGAAAAATGATCACATTTCTTTAACTATATCAGTAATATGTAAAGCATGTTTTACAATAGGAATCACATTCTTATAATTTATGGGGACAACCCAAAGGCAGCTAAGAAAAGCTTTTTGGTGATTCCAGAAATGTCTTCTGAGAATTTATAAATAAAAATGTCCTTTGTAATCATTTCTTGCCCCAAGACATCACCATTCTTACTAAGACTAATGCCATAAGGAAAGGTTTTTAGTTACATATATAATAATTTTTAAAAGTCTGTTTTCCCTTATTAAAGATCTGTCATTGATATGTACTCAAGGACTTCTCAAGCTTTGATATGAAGGCCACTCACTCAGGGTAAATATTCAGTTACTCCTTTAAGAAAGATTTAAAAATGCACACACTGTGAACATATTGTGTATACCTAAGAAAAAGTCTGCACTCTTTGAATAGTGAGAGGACTCTTTACTGCCAGCTCAGTTAAATCTGTGATGATCCATCCGGAAATAGCAAAGCTGTCCTGTCTGTCTGGAGCTGCTCAAGGCTGCTAAGTTAATACCTTCAACTGCTAACATGCAAACTCGATGGCAGCCATCACGTCTGAGACCAACTGAAGTGCAGAACTCAGATACATATTAAGTCTCTAGCTGTGTCTCTTTAAAAAATTCCACCTCATCTTGCAGACAGAGTTATATTAAAAACAACCAGGGGTTCAAAGTCTCCTTCAGAATACAGTACTGTGCAAACTTTGATTTTGGGTCTTATACATTGTGTTTGAAATAAAGTTGTAAAAAGATATGAACAAAGCTGGCAATAAATTTAACCAAGACTGTACATCTAAGACAGTGATCTACATTAAAAAAAAACCCTACTACCAAAACGGTAACCGATTTAATCATGCACTCTATAAAAAAGATGAATATGGAAATTTCCCTTAGTTATGAATGTAACCAGCTCACTGGTATCCAATGGGTGTCTGTCTCCAATTTGTCAAAAGTTGTTTTTAGCTCACTGAATGCCTCGGTGAGATCATCATTTACTATAATTTTGTCAAACAGATGACCATATTGACTTTCCATTATCTGTGCAGATTTAATCATTTCTTGAAAGTCTTCTTCCTACAAAAGAAAGTATTTTTAAAAAATTGGTTAACCAGGCAAGTACATCACTTCACATTAATGTAAACATTCTACAACTGGTTTACCTAAGGCTGTTCTATGTTGTCTTCACCTCGGCCAGAAGTAAGACATTATCCTCTTTAACTACAAGTTTTCAGAAGTCATAATTTCTAATAGTATCTCTCTGATTCGCTGTTACTGAACTGCTCTGACAAAAGTCAAAACTCCCTCACTCCTTAATGAATTTCTGGATAATTAGTCACTAACTCATTACAGGGATACCTTGGTGTTAAAATAGCTATTGGGGGAAAAAAAGAAATATTAACTCTGATACTCTGGCTGCATTTTTATGCTTATTCATAGTAAGACATTTATAGCATAAACTACTTTTTCAGAGTGGGATACATTTGTAAAAGGATAGTTACTGTGTCCTTCCTATATTTCATTAGAAGTGTTTCAGGAGCCCTTTATGTCACATTTTGAAGCCAAGAAGTATTTCAGTTGGCTGTATAATTCAAGACCATATCATTATATACATAAATGTAAGTGAGCCAAATCATAAGAATATGTTATCATTTATTATCCCCATTGAGAAACCTTTAATTTATATATGGTACAATAACTCTTTATATTGCAACATACTGAAATAATTTCAGAGTCCACATTTCAAGGTCACATAAGATTTCACAAAAGCTGAAAATTTAACTTCAGTGTTACTCAAAAGCCTCAGGTAACTAACATCATATGACACTACGTATTCACCATGGATATGTACTGTCAGCGTTTTAGAAGAAAGATACTTATCAAACATTAAGAATCAAAAATACGATCTGTATCTTGTAACCACAATTTTAACAGTTTACAAATCAATACAGACTAAGGTTAAAGATGAGCTAAATAAGTGGGGGGAGTGGGGAGCTCTTAACATTTAATTTCTTTGCTATTTTTGATCCAAAGGTAGATATATTAAGATGAAAAACAAAAGCAATGAAAGGCCTTGCCACAAGCCATTATAGCCATTAACGTTCCACAGTCATCATTTCCAAAACACTCACAGGAAATACAAATATTATTGTTGAATATTATTAACCTACTTATTCTATATCCAAAACAGTGCTTTTACTTTTACCATGCTAAATATGATTGTTGATACAAGGAGATAAGGCAAATTATTACATTTTTTTCATTTAGACTATTAACGAGTACACAGTAACTGACTTTGATATATTTAGCTTTAAAAATAAGGCTAGTCTAAAAACTAATTGGTCTAACTTTTCTATAAATGTTTATATAAATGTCTGAAATGTATGCATAATAGCATATAAAATAGTTTTGAGTCGATTTAATATGAAGTTCCATTCACCGAAGCACTGAGAGCAATCACAGTGTAATTGTTCAAAATGTATGTGCCTAAATACAATTTTGTCTTTTAGAGACTTTTGGATCACAATGTTATCTATTACAGTCTTCCTAAGTGGCTGAAACTGCATGTGTTCTTTTACATTTTGCTTATGCAGGAGGGTACTTCAAAAAGTTCATGGAAACGGCTGCCCCGTAGCTCACTCTGGAGAGTGCGGCGCTGGGAGCGCGGAGGCCGCAGGTTCGGATCTGATATAGGGCTGGCCAGTGCACTCACTGGCTCAGCGCGGTGCAGACAACACCGTGCCGAGGGTCGTGATCCCCTTACTGGCCAAAAAAAGAAAAAGAAAAAGTTCGTGGAAAAATGGGATTAAAAGATAACATGAATATTTCCATGAACTTCCGAAGACCCCTTGTACTATCACTAAGCATCAGCATACTTACTGTAAAAGGCTTTGCGGCACCTTGGTCATCTCTGCTTGAAATAATCTTTGCATTTTTTCTCGTCTCTCTCAAACGCTCAATTGATGGAGGCTTTATAAATATCACATAGGGCTTAAATTCAAGTGTCCTTAAGTGCTTCACTGTCTATAAGGAAGAAAAGACGTTTTCTCTCATTTCTTCATAACATCCTAACTTACTGAATTTTCTTTTAAAATTATTTTCTATTTAAGGTCAGTAGGTCTTTTGATATATTATTATTCAATCAGTTGTTGACAATTAAATGTAACAAACACTCCTGAAAAGAAGCTGGAGAATGTAATTTATATTTTAAAATGTTTTGAAATATGTCATAATTAGTATTGAAAAGAAGAGTCTAAAAATAACATAAAACTGGTTTTTAGATCAAATACCCAAAAGATACGATGAGTTAAATACACTTCTGCTCATGAAGGTTTTCCAATTATCCCATTTAAGCCTCTGTCTGATCTCAAGCATAAGTTCTCCCTCAATCGACCCTTCAGAGTGCCCTTAAAGGGCAGCACCCTGCTCTCCATAAAAAATGTCAATATTCCCTCATCAAATATTTTACTTACACTATGCTTCTGGGGACTCGTCTATAATCAAGGGTGACTGATGGAAGGGTGAAAGTTGAAGGCTATTCTTCATCTATATGTCAGGACCTCTCTAGAATATGAATATAAATCATCAACTCCACTGAAAGGCTAGACAGGCCACATGTGTGTATAAGAGAGAGGCTGGAGAGTGGTGGTGGTGGGGACAGAGGCACTGGAGAGGCACTGTGAATGAAGGGCTGAAGCTACACAGTGGAGTCTGGGAGCGACTAGACAGTACACCTGCAGAGAGGTTCTGCATAAGCAGGACTGTCCATCTGTTGCTGGTGCTTAAATTGGGAATGAGCTTCCCCACTGAAGCTTGGGACTCTTTTACTCCAGATTCATCTTCCTTAACAGGTACAAAGAGCTTCTGCAGGTCACTGTTGCATTTGGAGGTTGTGCACCCCCGGGTGCAGTCATCAGCTGAGGAAGAATCTGTGACCCCTGGGGGATGAGGAAAATGCTGTCGGTCGGGTATCGACCAGAGGATATATGATTTGACAAGGAATTGAATGGCTTCATCTGCTGGTATTCTCAGCCCAGAATGTTCATAAGGGTTCCTAGGGTGACAGGCAAGGATCTACCTGACAGCTACAATAGGGATCTCATTCAGTACAATTCCTGTGAAATACCCCATAGCTCCAGTGGGGGGTTTACACTTCTGGGATATACAGTAGTCCTTAGCCATGGGGGATACATTCCAAGATACCCAGTGTATACCTGAAACACGGATAGTACCACACCCTATACATACAATGTTTTTCCTATACACACACACTGTATAGCACGGATACACTGGACAAAGGGATGATTCATGTACTAGGTGGGATGAGGTGAGATTTCATCACTCCACTCAGAACAGTCTGTAATTTAAAACTTATAAATTGTTTATTTCTGGAATTTTCCATTTAATATTTTTGCACCTGCATTGATCGCAGGTAACTAAAGCCATGGAAACTGAAACTGCAGATGAGGGGAGACTACTGTATATAGAAACTAAAATCAAAGAAAGAGGATCAACAACCAAAATGCCCACTGTTAAAAATTATCCCCTCTTATAATAGTACATAATACATAAGAATATATTAGGCATGCAACAATGTAATGTATTCTAAAAAATATGAATTACATAGAAATATCTATGAGTCATTGTACTTGACAAAAAGTGAATGTAAACAGTAGTTACATTTTTTTCAAAGACATCTCAAATTACATTTAAATGTGTTTGTCATCTTAGAAAAGCCACATATATGCCAAAAGCAAGTAGACATCAGATTTACCTCATATTGAAAAGCTCACATGAAGCATAGTGGATTACATGGGTCACAAAGGGATTGATTAGTTCACTCTTTACTTACGTGAGGCTGAACATCCAACAAACAAACTTTGTTTTTAGCAAGGACAGACCGAACTGAGTCTATACTCGTGCCATAGTAGTTGTTTTTATATTCACCATATTCAATAAACCTGTAGAAAATTAGAGATGCATCAGAATCATTTGTGAATTAAAAAATAATTATAGGTGGCAAGCTACAATTCATAGGTAAAAGACAGTTTTGCTGAACATGTAATTTTTTTTTTACTGTGTTCAATAAAATAAATAGGGCCAAGTACTTCAGAATGTCAATTTTAAAAAATCTTCTATTTTACATTTTCAAATCAGTAACACTTGCTTGTATTACACTTAAGCATAAAAAAACGTACTTTAGTCCAGTAGAGCTCTAATGTTTTCCATCACCCCTTTTTCAGAACTAATGCAGTGCAATAAAACAGTGAAAAAGCCAAACAATAGAAACTACTGAAATTTCACTGCGCACTACAGAATAACCAAGCTCGGCTTCAGAACTGGAAGAGCTGGGTGGTGGCTAATGGAGCCAGGGAAGCAGATTATGTGCTATAAAAACACCACCATTGCGCCAAATGTGAAGAAAGCATTTCGATGTTTCAATAAAATCCCACAATTCTGCATTAAAACACAGATCACTTCTGATACACTAAAATATTCATGCTTAAGCAAATGGAAAACCTGGGGGGAAAACTCAGAGCTAGCTAGAGGAGACGATACAAGCAAGACTGGTAACCTTATTTCATAAGAGAACGAGGTGTGTGAGTGTGGAGGAGACTGTGGAAGTAGGAACATATATACACAGTTGTTCATTAGTTTTTAAAATAAAATTCTATCCAAATTATATGTTAAATTTCAATTAGTGGGCTGGAAAGAGGTCACAATGAGACACTAATACCCTTCTCTCATTCTGTAAAATAATTCCTACACATTTAACTTAACAGAAATGGGCAGCTCTAGGTTATTAAAAAATTTTTTTTGAGGTGAAGACTGATGAGTATTAACTGAATTATCACCTTTTCATCCATTTCAAATATTATTATAATGATTAAAATACATTTCAAGTGGAGGGGAACCCTCAGTTGTCTACAGCTGGATATACACAGGCACATTCTTGAAAATAGCCCCACAAAAATTGTAAAAAATTTCCACATACTTGTTATTTTGTACATCTGTTTCAAACAAATGCTTGGAAATAAAAATATATTCAACACCATCACTCTCCTGGCTTCTTCTTGCTCTGGTAGTGTCTATGATTTAATGAAAAAGAGTTTAGGAAAGCCTACATCAGCCACATTAAGGAAAATACTAAAACAGAAATCATCAAGTGTATTTAAATAAAGCAGTTTTCTTAAAC